AGATTTATGACTTTTCAGCGTGTCTTCCCGATATTACCATATTGACTAGGAACAACAAATAAAATAATTTAATAAATGGAACAATAAAGATTACATTTGATTGTATTATTCTTGTTTTACGAGACATTCTGAGTTGTGCGTGCTTGTGGATGTTACCTTAAGGTGCGGTCACATTTACCATTGTTCGGCGAATTATCACTGGCAAGTCTTTTTATGTGAATGGGAATTTCACACGAGGGTGAAAGATTTCCCTACACTGATTTCTCAATGAGTTCAAGTTCGTGCCGCCTTGCTGACCACAAGAAAGCTGTTTGGCTTGAAAGTGAATTCCTCGTGAGCTGTGCTTCATACATCGCTACACTTTTGACGATAGACGATGGACATTTTGCAATGTGACCGCATCTCTAGAAACTTGCTGTAGTGTTGTAAGTTGTTGTTACCAGCAGCAAGGCACTGCTGTGTGGTTTTAAACGTATTGCTACTGACCTTAATCAGTATACAGTAGTCAACATTTGAAGTGGATCTAAAAAGTTCGTCAAAGTTGTCCTAAGACAAGAACGCTTTTTAGGTTTTAGGACAACTTTGATGAAAGGTTTTGATCCACTTCAAATGTTGACTACTGTAGATGCCATATTGAACTTAAGCATGGATGAAAATGAGGCTGTGAGGAATGGATTTACAGTCTTTACTGTGGCAGGCACTGTAAAAATATCATGTAAATTTTCACAGCTTTGTTCTGTTTTATGGAATTTTTTTGTCTACTGAAAGAAACAATTGTACTATCCATTAAACACTGTACTTCTATCATTCATTCCTGTCAAAAATTTAATATGCTGCTACCCCGACTATGCAGTTTCTTGGATCAAGTAGGTTGACACATGTGCATTAGAAAGTTTCATCCTTGTCTGCGCTATTTCTCTCCAAAAATTGTGAGCAATACATTAGTAAGTTACATTAGATTCATTAATAAGTTAATACCCTCACAGAAGCGTTTATTTGGGCTTTAGGGTGACTTTCAAACAAAGAAGGCGCCACATGATTTTTATTCCAATGACTCAAATCCAAATTCCCAAATTCTAAATAAAGAGAAAATGCTCCTTTCACCAAGTGTGGTCCAAATGGCCAAATTATGAGAGACAGTTTCCCTGCTCCCTCCAAAGTTCCCACAAAGCAGGGCATAGGGATGCTGACTTAAAGTTGGGATTTGGTTAAGGTGGGGCTGATTAGCCTGGGCATTTAGCCCCTGCTGGTAGATGTCATAACTACATCCCTCTGGGGGCTGGGTTCTAGGGTCAGTGGTTATTCAGGTCTAGAGGAGAACTCTGTGGAGGCATATAGAGCCGTCATAAATATTATGAATATTTTTAATACACTCTATTGTATAGACCAGTGGTTCTCAACCAGGGCTGGGGCCCACTAAAGGGTTTCAGAACACTTCCAAGGAGGCCTCCGGATAACTAAAAAGTATATAAATGAATAAATAATTGTTATTGTATTAAAATAAGAGATCTATAATCTAAATTAAAATGCTAAAAACACATAAAACCAAAGTGTGAACTGAAATGTATTTTTATACATTATAATTATTGTCATAAATAATTATTGCAATTAAAAAATACAAAAATAACAATAAAAAGCTTTGTCATAATGACAACAGAAAATAGCCTGCAGATATCAGAAAGTCTTTGAGTCAAAATGTTTAAGAACCACTGGTATAGACAATTTTATAGACATTAAATGTTAAATCTGTAATCATTACATAAAAAAAGTCCCAAAGGTCCCAAAACTGTCTCAGCCAAACTTCAAAACACAAGACTTTTGTCCCTTCAGGCTTTCTGTAGTCTGGTGTACACTGTATAAAGATGTGGAGGGAAAAAAAAGATCTATTGCCTGTTGTCAGTAGTATAGCAATGCATAAAGCACAGCTGACAGAGAAGTCACTTTCAAACCAAGAAGCTTTCTGTTGGTCACCGGGGCGAATCTGTAAAAAACCCGTTGCAAAATCAAAATCTCATATAATTAATAATGATAAATAAAATATTTGCTGGATTTTGTAAAAATACTCAGCGCTTAAGCATAGTATTGCCCATGCTGGTGTGAATTCAAAAATGTGCATTCTGATGAAATTGCAAATATTTTATGATAATAGATGTTTTACCAGTGGCCAAGTTAAATACGGAGGGCTATTAAAAGTGTGAAATGGATATTTTTCCCTGCTGTCTTTGATGGCAGCTCGTAAACCAACAGCATTGTTGCTAGTGAAGGGCTTGGGACAGTGTGCATTCTTGTGGCATATATAGCTCAGGTGATTGGCTCAAAACAAATGTGCACATTAGCAAAGATGGCAGAATGCATATTGCATGTTCTGAGGGTGTCACATGGCAGCCAAAGACCTGCTGTTGACATGAATGAAGATCGCTCTCTGGTTTCTGTAGTGTTCAGGATTGCTTTTAGCACATTGCTGTGCAGCTGCTAAGGTGTTCCGGATGGTTGCTAGGCCACTGCTTGGTGGTTGCTTACTCACACAAGTCAAAAAAATTCACTCCCAAGTCTTTTTGGTCTCAAGATATGTCTCAGGTCTGAATCAGAATTTTCTAGCATTTCATCAGTACTTGGCATCAAAAAAAAGTGTGTCCATATTTTGATATTCCTTCCTTTTAAAAAAAAAATACCTGCAGCATACAGACATTTACAAGCTGCACATGCAATAAAGAGCTGTTTCAGGGTTTGCAAATGAAAGATGACAAATGAAAGTAACGTCTTGTTTCATACAGTGGATTGTAGTTACATATGCCTCTCATCCAGTGCTCTTTTTGTTTTCTGTCTTAAAAAATATCCCATTACTATTTCAATGCATGTGCATTTAGTGCCTGAGTGAACTGTCTGAATGAATCCAACTGAATTGCAAACAATTTCAGACCTTTTTGCAAACGCGTTTGAGCAATTACCAGCAGTTCAATTCCAGGCTGCAGCAAAGTCACATTGTGCAGAGGACTCAACTGGCTCCTGTGGTCTTGTCTGAGACAAGGTCTTTACTGGGGATCTGTATCTGGGGCTCATCTAGTTGTCCTGGTCTCTGCTGACTTTCAGGGCTGTAGAGGTCCTCTCTAGGTGCTGATCCACCATCTGGTCTGGATACGTACTAGATCCGGGTGACAAAAGAGTGATTCATTTGTGCATTTAGCATCGTAAGTTCTGTTTATAAATAGCTGACAGGGTAAAGCCCCATTCACACCAAGAACGATAACTATAAAGATAACGACATTAGCGTCCACACCAGCGAACGATATCGTCTGTTTATTCAAAGCGCACATGCGTCTGCCGCTTTAAATTCTTGAGCTCGTTACAGCAGGATGGATTCTGATTGGCTGTCAGTGTTTTATCATTCATCAGCTGGAAAAAAATCGTTTTGAAAGTGATCACAACGATATCGTTCCTCTGTATCGTTATCGTTATAGTTGTGGTGTGAACTATGCTATTCTTTAATATTGAGAACGATTTTTAGAACTATATCTTTATCGTTATCTTTATAGTTATCGTGCTTGGTGTGAACGGGCCTTAACACTTTAGTTTAGCGACCAGTTCTCACTATTAACTAATTGTTTATTAGCATGCACATTACTAGCATATTGGCTGTTTATTAGTACTTATAAAACACATATATTCTGCATGACCATATTTTAGATTCCTTAATCCTACTCCATACCTAACCTTAACAACTACCTTACTAACTATTAATACACAGCAAGTTAGGAGTTTATTGAGGCAAAAGTCATAGTTAATAGTGAGAATTTGTCTTCAAACTGAAGTGTGACCCCCTGATAGAAAACACACATGACTTGATTGCTGAAATATTACCAGAGAAAATGATTCTCAGGTCAGTGTACGTAAATTCCCATTGACACAGGATTTATCAGTAATTACGACAGCAACCATGTTACTACGGATTCAGGAAATCATACGGATTCCAATGATGCATCGTACTACAGTGGTTAAGCAGTGAGTTACGACGTTGTAAGGGAAAAGCACTTCTGATTTATCGTGTGGTTGAACGCCCTATTGTGACTGGGTAATTTGGGGGTTTTCCATCACAATCTCTCTATCTTTCTATGTCTCATATGGTTCTCCTCTCTCTCGCTCACCACATTTCCTTTGTGAATGATCTTTGCAGCATTCCCAAAATGTAACAGTACCATCAGCAATAACACACAAGCCCACGCTCTCTCGCTCTCTCCCACAGACTCTCACTATTCCCACTGCATATGCTAAAAAGCATCTTTGTGATGGCACCTTACACATCTCATGTGAAATCAAGCCCCCAACTCGCTTTTAATGGGCCAGTGAAGACAGAGGCGTGTCACTTTGAAGTCTTCCTCCCCGTCATGCATTCTCTCTCTCCTCCAGCATAAAGAGCAGCATTGAGCACGCGTGCCTGTTTACCCGCTGTCCATGGACTCATGTTACGCTCCGCTCTTTGATCTGCGGCTCCCATAATAAAGAATTTCTAGAGAAGACATTGTTTATTGGGGTTTAGACTGCAGCAAAAGGAGAAGCCGGGGCAGAGGAAGAAAAGGCTTCCCTTTTTCTCCAGCGAGGGGAAGTGGTGTCGTGGAGGTGACTAACTTTCAGACGGCCAGCGAGCCGTTACTCATAGTCCAAGCCGCAGACAAAGTTAGAAGAAAGGAAGAAGACTGAATGGAAAATGAGTGATGACCGTGTGCCACAATCTATAGATATGCACATCGTGGTGTTTGAATGTTCTGTAAAGTTGCTATAAGTACATGGATGCTGCACAATTAGTAGTTCTCAATTTTTTTTTTTTTTTTTTACATGCATAGATTTCTTCATGGGTTTTAAGGAACCATGAGCAAGGCGTGCGCCAAATTAAATGGCTAGCTTCTACCAAGTCAAGTCACTTTTCTTTTTATAGTGCTTTATACAATACAGATTGTTTCGATGCAGCTTCACTGTATCTAACATGAATCAATAATGCAAACTTCAAATTCTGCTGTAAAGAAGCTGTAGCAAGACAATAGCGTCATTATTCAGCTCCCGTCAGTTCAGTGTTGATTCTGTTCAATTCAATTACTACATACAGTTTGTTCATTATGAAACAAGTTCAGTTCAGTTATAAGCAGCCCTACTGAAGACAGCAGTCATTATTCAGCTCGAGTCAATAACAGTGTCAATGCTGCAAATTAAATTAATCTATAACCCAGAAGACAATAGTGTCATTATCAAGCTCAATTTAGTTCAAGTTTTGTTCTCAAAACAACATTACTAAATGAAGAGTTCCAATGCAAAAGCCTCTAAAAGTCATCTTGGTCAAAAATGAGATAACGATACTGAGTGAATGCTCTCCACACATAGTATATGTTTATCAAGTACTTTCACTTCAAATGCGCTAAATCCCAGCCTCAACCCATTCAGAAGTACCAGTACTTACATAGAAACCTATACATAGTAGCCAGACAGAAATGCTAATTTTAAAGAAAAACGTCAGACATACTTAGAGGCTTTTGCATCTGAACTCTTCAAATATTAAATGTCTTTTAAACAAAGTGTATCAGTGACATAACTTGGAATGTTTGATCATAATAAATTAGGTACATCATGGAATTATGAGTGTAAGCTGCCGGTTTTTTTACCGTAAATTTTACGGAATTTTTTTTACAGTGTAGTCTTTAAACAAAGTTGCTTAAGTACACTACCATTCAAAAGTTTAGGGTCGGTAAGATTGTTTAATGTTTTTAAAAGAAGCTTCTTACATTCAACAAGGCTGCATTTATTTAATCACATTAGAAACACTAATATTTTTAAATATTATTACAATTTAAAACAACTGTTTTCTGAATATATTTTAAAATATAATTTATTCCTGTGATACAAAGCTTTAGCATCATTGAGCATCATTAATCCAGTCTTCAGTGTCACATGATCCTTCAGAAATCATTCTAATATGCTTATTTTTAAAATTTTGTTGAAAACAGTTGTGCTGTTTCATATTTCTGTGGAAATTTTGATACTTTTTTTTTTTTAGGATCCTTTGACGATTCGGAAGTCCAGAGGGACAGCATGAGGTCTTTACTGTCATGTTTGACCAATTTAACATGTCCTTTTTTTAAATACAGCCCTGTTGCAAACCCATCCCATTGAGTGTCTTTTTATGGTTTGCTTTTACGCAGGGTTGTGGGTATTTGTATTTATCAGAAGTCTTCATTCATATCTCTGAGATGTGGAGGTGGAGGGTTTGGTAAAGTATACTTTCACAAAGTTTCTTAAACATTTGTCTATAGTTTCAGCTCCCTCCCATAAGTACACATAGTTTGTACATGTGGTCTATGTTTGGAATAGCATAAAAACTCTATATTCTATTCAAAGCATAGCCATTCTCTTTCAGAATGATACAGTAAGAAGGCTGAATGATATAGACAACCTTTATCTCTATGTCTCCTGCTCTCTCCTTTCATCTCGGCTATTTATTGATGAGAAAGCGACTTGGGAATCATTATGTGTAAGTGAGAACCTTTCATTTTTAATGTGAGGTACGTGTGATGGTGTGAGGTGTTGGCTGTTAGTACGGACATCTTTAGTTACACACACTGTAGGTAAGAGTCACAGAGCAAATGTTCTGTCACCATCACAGAGCAAAAATCAAGCAGATCGACTGGGTTTGTAGATGTTGGAAGCCCAGGCTCTAGGGAGCTTTATTCACTGCAAACATACTTAATGCATTTTCCGTTAAAACTGTCTAAATTTATTGAGAAGCAAAACTTAAAGGGTTAGTTCACCCAAAAATTCTGTCATTACGGGTTTCGAACAACACGAGGGTGAGTAATTAATGACAGAATTTTCATTTTTGGGTGAACTAACCGCTTTAAGATGCTGCTTAACAGCTCTATTGTGATTCTTTTTATTACCCTATTTGGGATTCTTTTATTATCTTGGGTTAAGCATAAATTTAAGAAAATTTATGCTGAAAAGAAGAAAAACAAGACAAAAATACTGATTAAGATTTTTTTTTACAGTGCCGTATCCAGTTATGTAGGAAGAAAGTGAGTGGAATGATTTCTGAAGAGGGTTTCACTGGAACCCTGCCATATTCATCTGTATTGTGTCATCTTCTCAGCTGACACTGAGCGCAGGTCTCGTTGAAAAAAAAGAGCCTTGTAAACTGAGAGGGAGACAGTGTAAGCTTATTAGATATCCTGTTAGATGCAGTGTTTCCTGTAGTTATGCAAAGATTTCTTATCTATTAACTATTTCTTATGATTTTAAATTTGCATTGAACTTCAGATCAATCTCAAAGTAAAAGGCGGTACTAAAGTCTGATTTTGTGGTGGATGTGTTAAAATATGATCATCTTAATTCAAGTGATGAAGGTGATGAAAGTCTGACAGTATTGAGCACTACTGTAAGGTTAACCCTGCATGGTGTAAATGTTTGAAAATGATTAACATTTGCAAATAAACATTCATTAGAAAGTTAGAAAAGTAATCAAAAAGTAATCAAAAGTAATCAGTTACATTACTTTAATAAAGTAATTGAAAAAGTTACACTACTATTACATTTTAAATAGGGTAACTTGTAATCTGTAACCTATTACATTTCCAAAGTAACCTTCCCAACACATCTGTTTCACCGGCCATCTTTAGAACTCAAAGCTTAATTAGAGCTGAGAAACTAATAAAGGAAATTTACACTCGAGTAACTCTATAACTGTTATCTTTTCCGCTTTTTTCAGTAACACTAGTCTAATTAAATCACAGAACTTGGTGGAGAAAAACTAAACAGTGAATGGAGACACCATCCCAGCAGCTCTCTCTATACAGTCCAGATGAACACAAGCACAGGAACGCTGCAGCAGCACCAGCCAGTGGTGTGTGTATAATTAAAGAGCTCAAGGGAAAAGGGCGGATGCACACCAGTGTTTTTTATTGATATACTATTATAGTTTTTGTTAATATTTTGAGTTAGATTTTTTTTTAAATGTTCTATGTTTAAAATGCTCTTATTGTGATTTGGTTTGGTTTAGTTGAACTAACCTTGTTTTTGTTTCCCTGCTATTTGATGTTTATACTTAAAGGGGTCATATGATGCTATTTTAAAGATCATTATTTGGTGTATTTGGTGTAACAGAATATGTTGACATGCTTTAATGTTCAAAAAACACATTATTTTTCAAATACTGTACATTATTGTAGGTCCTCCATGCCCCGCCTCTCTCAAACACGTCGTTTTCAACAAAGCCCCCTCCTTTGACAAGCACAGTCTGCTCTGATTGGCCAGCTGAACCAGTGCATTGTGATTGGCCGAACACCACAAGCACGCATCGGAAATGTAACGCCCCTTACCATAATCGCAGCTTCAGCTTTCAAAGTAAATATCAAGACAGTTAAAAATGTCGTTAGTTTTACCATCAGTTCAAGCCCGAAAGGGCAACAGAGTCGCGTGACAGACACAGAGATGATGCAGTACACAAGCCGCGGTTAAGACAGCTGACGTGCTATGATTTCTGACAGGCAGTTCACTCTCCTGTGATGTGACCCTGTTCCCCTCACACACACACACACACACACACACACACAAAAC